ACATTGTCTGCATGTTTGCAGTCATTACACATTGTGAAACTATGGAGCTAAGAGTTACTGAATGTTCACTACATGTGCCAAGCCCTGGATTCAATGCTTTACATGAACTATTTCAACATAAATTGCATGATTATAGAGTTAATAAAAGGCAGGGCTGGAAGACAAACCCATGTGTCTCTAACAACAGAGTTCTGGCTTCTACTGTTAGGCTCTGTAACTATTAGGATTGGCTAGATGTTATTATAAATTACAAACAGACCCAAAGATTTATTGGTTTTTATATTAAAGAAGGTATCTTTCTTGTTCATGCCACATGATCTCCCTGATTCTCCTGAGACTTGTTTAAAGAGAAGCCACCATATACATACCTCCTGGATATATCAGAGATGTACAGAGATGGTGGCAAGTCTCAGTGCTTCCAGACTTTTCTCTTAGTAGTGACAGGCTTCACGCTCAGCACATTTCATTGGTCAAAGCACTTCACAAGGCTGCAGCAAATTCAGGTGGTCAGGAGGGAAGTCTGACATACTTGATGGCCACATTCATGTGACTACATGGGGCCAGCCTCTTTTGGGGCTGTGTATGGGCGAAGAAGAGCAGTGAAGATTGGTAGGAAGTGACAGTGGAAATTAGTTCAGATGGTTCCCTTCCCCCTCATCCAGGTGCATTTTGCCCCAGAGCTGCCCACAACCACTACTGCCTAGATTCAAAGGAGTGAACTTCAATAAGAGGAATTTTGTCAGAAGTCATTGGCCATGAACTCAGAGCCCACTTTTGAGTGTGATCTTTAATAAATCCCTGGCTGCCTCAGTTCCCCCACTATGTTCGAGGTGAAGATCCACATGTTAAGAATGTTTATTGGAAGACACAGTACTGAAAGCATTCCAGCATCCATGTTCTTTGAAATTAATATCAATCACTACTCTGTCTCCTAGTCTCTATCATTTGCATAGCTCAGTTGAGGGCTCCATCAGGTGGGGCTGAATGTAAAAATGCTGACATTAACATCAATGTTGGTCCTAGGTTCCCATTCTTTTGTGCCTGAACCTGTGCTAAATGTTGTCCCTCCATTGTTCTCTAATTTTCCCTCCTTGTCTCAATGTTCCTGAGTGCCCAAGCTCACCCAGTAAATGATGAGAGTCCAGAGGTCAGTAAATGATGCTCCAAGCAACCCCAGGCACATTCCTTATTAGGTGTCAGCATAGCTTATAAATGGGCAAGGGATTGACCTTCTCTTCAGGGACCAGGAGGACCACCTGGGTATGCCAGCCTTCTCCAGGGGTATCCAGTTCCTCATTCCTAAGGGGGAATTAGGGTCCTAGGATTCTTCACCCTCAGCTTTCCCCCATATGCACCCATCCAGTGATTCCTTTTCAGGGATTCAGGATCTTCCAGATCCTCCTCAAAGGCTTACAGTCCACCAAAAACAGTGCCTCCACACTCTATTCTTCCATTCTGCCACCAGTCTTTCCCAATTCTCCAACTTCGCTCAGCCTACAGTTCTATGACCCTTCACTTCATCCATCCATGAACCTGAGATGGGACCCAAAGGGGTATAACAGTGGCATGGAAGAGAAGGGGCTCAGCCTGGGGAGCAGAGAAGAACATATTGTCCTATAAATCACCCCTGTGGAGATTGCCTATGCATTTGTCTGTTGCTGGGGTGCACACATACAATCTCACAGGGAACATGCAGACATCATAAGCACACAAATGCATGGGTACAGAACACCCCCAGGCAAAGATGGGCTCTCAGGTGCAGGACTTGTGGCCAGGCTCACACAGACCCAGACTATAGACTCGGACATCACTTTGAGGGGAATACACAAATACACACAGATAAGAATACATGGGAACAAGACAGCGTCACGATGCACACTCACACACACAATGGACACACAGAGGCACACACCAGAAGGGACATACGTGGACACAGTAGACACAAAGAAAATAAAAAACACAGATACAATCAGGAACACTCAAAGGGGCAGCAATTCACACATACAACCAACACTGACAAGCAAAGCAACACTCCCCTTAATGCTGAGTCATACTAATACACTGTTTTGAAGGAAACATTAAGAACTGAGGTGCTGTCTTGACGAGGTAGTACGGTGGGTTGGAGAATCATCTCATAATGCACCTCCCCTCCCCCCCCCACACACACAATAGATTGTGAATTTGATCCCTGGTTGGGGCATGTATGAAAGGCAACTGACCCATGTTCCTCTCCCATTAATGTTTACTTATTTATCTCCCTGTTTCTCTTTATTCTAAAATCAATAAACATATCCTCAGCTGAGGATTAAAAAAGAAAAATGTAATAAGTAAGGTATTGAATTTTCAAGAACATAGCATTAAATCCAGAGCAATCTCTCTAGAACAGTTATCAGAGAATCATTTGAATGCAGTCAATGTGTCTTCTTTTACCTGGGAGGCTAACAGAATCACTATTGCTGATCTCAGAAAAACCCCACATAATTAGTGTCATAGTCATGATCCCCTCCTGGCTTTCATTTAAACACTAAAATATGATGGTTTCTGAATAAAGTCATCCCTTCATTTCCATAACTTAGGTTAGACTTTGAGTGATAAAAATGAACTTATCTTAGTAGAAGCTGTTTCTGAGGGATTCCAACATAACTTTAGGCACTGGAGTGAGGAGAGCCAGTTCTCCCTCCAGGTCCCATGTGGCCATGCACTCCCTGTAGATAACTAGAACCTAGAGGTGCAGGAGTGATGCTCTGAGTAGACCCAGACACCGTCCTCTATTAGTTTTCAGCTTAGCTTTCACATGGGCAAGGGACACCCTCTCCAGGGATGTCCAGTTCCTCATTATTAGTGGGGACTTAGGAGCCTAGAAGTCTTCCCCTCAGCTTTCCCCCACATGCACCCATCTTCACATTCCTTTCCAAGGATCCTGGATCATCCAGCTACTCCAAGAAGGCAGTCTTCCACAAACATTTCCAATCCACGCTCTATACCTCCTGTCTGCCATCACAGTCTGCCCCAATTCCCCACCTTGCTACAGCCTGAGGTTCTTGGCCCTGTGCTTAATTCATACCTGAGATGGGACCTCCAGAGGGACACCAGCTGCCTGGAAGAGCAGGAGAATAAGGGGCTCAACTGGTGGTGGGGAAGAAAAACAGGTAATCCTCTACATGACCTCTCCGGAGATTCACTATGACTTGTCAGTGGCTGGGGTGCCCAGACTCAGAGAGAAATATACAGATAACACCAGCACAGAAACATGCAGGTAGAGAACACCCACAGCCTCTTCTGGGCACTCAGGTGCCGGACTTAGGTCCAGGCTCACATAGACCCACACTGTAGACAGGCAATACCAGAGGGGAACACACACGCGCGCGCGCACACACACACACACACACACACACACAGAAACAAACAATTGGGGCCACCCAGACAGTGCCACAGGACACACACACAATGGACACACCCCCATATGCTGGCAGGAACCCCTAAAACAATCCTGTCCAGGGGCCCAACCTCTCTGCCCCCTCAACCTCACATCCCACAGTATATTGTCCCTGAGTCCAGGCTCCATCACCTCACTCCAGGTGCAAGGGTCTGCTCGGCACAGGCCAAACTTATGGAGGGGGAGACCACCTGGAATGCATCCCCCAATGTGGTATCATGTTGAGACCAAGCCTCTCCTTCAGGAAATGCTTGTATGGCAGAATAGTCTCACCATTAAAAACACACAGCACCATTTCCTGGAGAATCCATGCTACCTTCAGGACTGGTTGGGCAGTGGTATTTTTCATGAAATGAAAATGGAAAATGACCCAGAAATGCAAAAATAGAGAGATTCAAACAATGCCCATGGGGCTTAGGAGAGTGTATGGGCTGCTCAGGGGTACGTGAACTCATTTGAGGGCCTCAAGTATTAGGAGCTGCTCCAGAATGCCTGGGAGGGATCTGGGATCCTCAACCACCTGAATCCAAAATAGCTCAGTCTCAACCCCTGGCTAGAAGGTGCTGAGACCACAAAACCCATGTCCAGGAGTTTTTCCCAGCTCCTTAGGGTTTAGTCTCAGGGAGCACAGATGCCATAATTACCTGAGGGTGACTCTTCAGCTCAGCCCCAGTTCCCCACCCTCCACACTGACAGCAGGGCCCCTCCCCTCCTGTCCTCTCCCTCACTGTGTGCTCTGCCCTCTGAGAATCCTTATGAGGGCAGAGGGTTCGCCACAGGGTTCCAGTCTAGTCTGTGATGGTGTTCGCATGTGTTGACTCGTTTGGTGAAAAAACACACAAATATATTGATCAGAGAGCAAGAGAGAGAAGAATAGGAAGAGGGAAACACCCATTTTGTGTTCCACTAATTTTATACATTGTTTGATTCTTTTTTTAATATAAGCTTTATTTTAAATTTAAAGAAAAACTGAAAATGAGTATTTTTTTACAAATTATACCAATATTGAAAACGTAATTTGGGAATGTTGAACATTAGTTCTCAATTCAAAATAATGACATGTCTTGGTGTTGGCTAATGTAAAGTTTCTTTAAACCTAGTACTTTATATAAGTTTAACCATTTCATCCTTCCTAAAATTCAGTGATTATGATTCAACTTTAGAAGGTTAAAGCAGTCTTCTATGTAAAACCCCATATACCTTTTTGAAATACAATATATTTACACCAGCGAGGAAATGATAAAAACCTGTAAAAACCACATGGGACTTGCCGAAAAGGCTGCCTACATACAGAGGGAGCATTTCGCCTCAGCACACACGCGTGATCCAACAGACTCCCTCACGTTCTCTTACACAGCCACCTGCGTGGTTATAAATGCCGCTCTAGCATGTATGAACTGAAAATAACATATGATTTAAAAGGTCCTTGAAGACACAGGGGAGTGGAATGAGCCTGCGCTGAGAGCAGCACCACACAGGCTGTTATGAGGATGTGGCCCAGCTGCCAGCCCAGCTGGCTCCGCCCCTGGGGAAGCAGGCCCCGCCCCGTAGGAACAGGCCCCACCCCAGGGGAGCAGGCCCCGCCCTCAGACAGCTGGTGGAGGGGAGCCCAGAAAGACTGATGGTCTTGTTGATGATCTCCACGGCCTCCTGGACCTCGTCCTTCTTGATGACCAGCGGAGGTGGAACCTGATGATGTCGCCATGGGTGGGCTTGGCCAGAAGTCCATTATCTCGAAGGCGCAGGCGCACCTTCCAAGCATCTGAATCTTTGGTTTCCCGGGTGACGGTGGCATCCAGCAGCCCCTTCCCACGCACTGCGGTCACGATGTCCCAGGGCAGCTTCCTGAGCTCATTCTCTTCTTCCAAAACTTCGAAGGCGGCGTTGGCCCCGCAGCTGCCCAGGGGGTTGCCCCTGTACGTGGAGCCGCGCTCCCCAGGCTGGATGGTCAGCATGATCTCGTGGTCACACAGCACCGCCCACACCGGGTACAGGCCACTGGAAAGGGCCTTGCCCAGGAGGACGAGGTCAGGCCTGACGTTTGCATGGCCGACTGCCAGCCATCGCCCAGTCCTGGCCAGTCCTGTCTGGGTCTCATCCAATAAACAGGACTGGGTGCCTGGCGCAGAGCTCGCGCACACCCCTCAGGCAGCCTGGGTCGGGACAATGACGCCCGCCTCGCCCTGAATGGGTTCGACCATGAACGCAGCAACGTTTGCATCCTGAAGAGCACGCTCAAGAGCAGGTAGGTTGTTGTAGGGAATGATCTCGAACCCCGGCATGAAGGGACCAAAGCCGTCGTCGCTGCTGGGGTCCGTGGAGCTGTAGATGGCACACAGAGTCCTGCCCCAAAAGTTTCCAGCTGCGAAGACGATCTTGGCTTTGTCCTTGGGGATGCCCTTCACGGTGCAGCCCCACCACCGCGCCAGCTGGCAAGCGGTCTCCCCGGCCTCCACCCTGTCTGTGCTCATGGGGAGAACCTGGTGGTAGTTGAAGAGCTTCGTGACGTTCTCCTCGTCTTCGCCCGGCACGTTGTTGTAGGAGGCCCGCGAGGTTGGCGTCAGCTTCCCCGCCTGGCTCTTCAGGGCGTCCACAATCTTGGGGTGGCAATGCCCTTGGTTGACAGCGCTGTGCGTACTCAGAAAATCAAAGCATTTCCTGCCTTCCGCATCCCACAGGGAAATACCTGTCCCTCTCTCCAGGGTGACCAGTAAGAGGAGGTAAAGTGCGTCCCAAAATTCACGCAAGATTTGAATTTTGCGTGAGCATTAACAACAACAAAAAATAAAAGCCCAATTTTACTTGGTTTATTGAATCAGATTTTAATATCTGTTACCCTATGATTTCAATCCCTTCAATTTGATAAGCATTACCAAGTACCAATTATGGCCCAGGAGCCGGGACAATGAAGACCAAGGCTTTGCGTATGTACCAGCAAAGCTGTGGAGGCCATTTACCCATTGTGCTATTCCATACAAAACCCTATTCTGTATACATTATGAATCAATAAAAAATTTACAATTTTTAATTATAAACCTGTGTTTTCTATCAAAATTACTTCTTGCGTGAATTTTGGGACACCCTTTAGTTGTGAGCGCCATACTTGGCTTTCCCATTCAAAAACGTCATCCGACCATAGAGGGCCTTGGACCATCTTCTTAGTCACCACAGATGTAGCAGAAGTCACTGGCGTGTGGGCGCCCCGCCACAGTCTGCAGACGAGCTAGCTTGGAAAGCATCGTGTCCGTGGAGCAAGAATTGGAGCAAGAATTCCACCGACCAGCTACCCTTTCTCCTGTGGTTAAGATGGAAATGCAGATTGCTCAGCCTGGATCTGCTGGGTCCAGTAATCCCTGGTGGCGCCTCTGGCTCCAGATCCAGCGGCTATGTCTTGGTGGCAGCACATTGTTTGATTCTTGCATGGAGCCTGACTGAGGATGGAACCCACTACCTTGGCACTACTGAGATGATGCTTTAATCAACTGAGCTCTCTGGCCAGGGAGAAACTTATCAGGGGTTTTTAGTAAAATAAGTCACTAATGTATCTGAGAATAGATAGATACCAGAACCACTGGGATGAGAGATAGTGATGGAAGGCAACGGCAATTCTCGGGTCACGCATCCCGGAACCAGAGAGGAGGGAGCCTGATTCTGGGTTGTGTCACCTGACAACTGCCCTCTCATAATCCAGGATCCCTCAGCAGGTATCGGAGAGCTGGTTTCGGCCTGATTCCCTGCAGGCCAGGCCGCAGGACCTCACCTGCCAGAGGGATCCCACTCATTCCACAGACACACTTGAAGCCAAGGCGCTGCCCCAGGTGGAGCCTAATGAGGAGGGACTGGGGGAAGTTGGCATTAGGCTGTGTCAGACCCGTCTCAGCCAGTCCCACCCCACTGGTTACTTTCTAATTAATTTCCTTTCAATGTGCACAAGTCCATACACCCAGTCACTAGTAAAATAAAATGATGTACTACTGAAATATCTTATGTCCATGTTCAATGCCATCATTTTCACAGTTTGAATGTGGTTATGACATTTACACCAGGGAAATTTTCAACTACCACAAACCTAGACTTCAATGTATCATTAAATGCTTAAACTTAAAGAACACCGGTGGAGAATTAACAATGCAGATTAAATGTATAAGTGTATGGTACAAGTGGGCTATAAATCATACATAGGGTAAAAATTGAGAAAAACCACTTTGTTTATAGAATTCAAAAACCAAGAATTCCATATGGCCAAAAAATCAGCCGAGTCACTGAGGACTGAGTGAAATTCAAACATATGTCTTAGCGGCTGCACCGCCCTCCTATTGGTTAGAATAGAATAATAAATTAAGTTTAAAAGGAAACAAAAAATCCTGAGCATTTTAACAAAGAAGATAAAGACAGTGAAAGAAATACATGAAGAAATCATCACCATCAAATATCTTTTTGGAAATGAAGTAAAACAAAAGCGAGTTAACAGTACACTCATTGATGGGGCTAGTACTTAAAAAGATTAACCTTTGCATGTGCTGGCAGAGTTGCATAGAATTTTCTGGGTGGGTGGGAAGGCAAACTGATTGACCATTTGAGGTCACAGTTCCATATATGTTGAAATGTACCACATTCACTGACACTGGAACAGTTTAATAAGACACACATCTGTAGAAAGAATGGAATACAATATTCTGAGCTGTTTTATTTTTAAAACCCCAAACGTAGAAATAACTGAAATTATAGGCAGCTCAATAGTAAAAGTGGTTATCCATAGAATACAATATTTTCTAGAAATAAAAAATTATTTATATAAACGTTAGTGTTAAATCTCAAACATCTGTATAGCATGAAGGAAGCTAGTGTTTGTTAAAGAGAATTCACCTTATAGTGCCAATAAATTTATGAAAAATATGAACTACTCTATTGTAAAGGAAGGTAAATCAATGTCTGCATGGAGGGTTGGGGAAGCAGAAATATTACAAAATGACTGGAGGCAAATACAGAGTGTGGCAAATTCAGGTTTAGAGTAGTTGGTGTTAAAAATAATGCACTAATAAATAACAACACAAATATAAAAACACCTTTAAAAAAAGATCATAAACCAGAGCAGAGGAGAGCACAGAGTTTGCAGGTTGGTGAATAAAAAAAACCCCAAAATTTATCAAAGCATAATGTGAGTACCACTATGTCCCTGAAAGAGGTAGTAGCACTTCTTAGCTAAGAACAGGTGCTCTGAATGAATCCTGGGTGAGGTCCATTTTCTAGTCATAGAGAAATGAATGAAGATACTGCCAAGAGCTTGGAGGAATCATAATTACCTCAATCAGAAGCGAGAACACAGAATACATTCCCCGGAGCACCCAGGGAATGTGACCGATGCACACTCCTCAGGTGAGGCAGGTGTTAGCTGTGAAATCTCTTTAGTGATAAACACTCACAGTGACATCATTGGGTTGTAGGTCTGGACATGTTAGCAAGTCCAACACAGATCCTTCAAGTCTCACTTGTACCTCAATTTTATGACGAATCTAGCAGAGTGTATGTTCTCATTAAAGGGGTTTACATTCATGTAAATGGGTCCCATAGAGCCCCTTAAGTGTTCTTATTCTTAGTGAGAAAAATAAAACATTCCCTGCACATTTACTTCCTTTCTCCAGTGTGAAATTACAGGTGTCTAACCAGGTTATAGTTGTAGCTAAAAGGAATCCCACACTCACTACACTCACCAGTGTGAACTCTCTTGTCTTCACTGCAGATAGAGCTTTCACTAAAGGATTTCCCACATTCACTACACTCATGTGGCTTTTATCGAGTATGAACTCTGTGGTGTTTCCTGAGGGCAGACCTTGCACTGAAATGCTTCCCACATTCACTACACTCATATGGCTTTTCTCCAGTGTGAACTCTGCGGTGGTTAATGAGGGTAGCCTTTTCTCTGAAATGTTTCCCACAATTGCTACACTCATATGGCTTTTCTCCAGTGTGAACTCTTTGGTGTATAGTGAGGGCTGCCTTTTCTCTGAAATGCTTCCCACATTCACTACACTCATATGGCTTTTCTCCAGTGTGCACTCTGTGGTGCTTATTGAGGATAGACCTTTCACTAAAATGCTTCCCACATTCACTACACTCATATGGCTTTTCTCCAGTGTGCACTCTGTGGTGCTTATTGAGGGTAGACCTTTCACTGAAATGCTTCCCACATTCACTACACTCATATGGCTTTTCTCCAGTGTGAACTCTGCGGTGTTCAGTGAGGTTAGCCTTTACTCTGAAATGTTTCCCACAATCGCTACACTCATATGGCTTTTCTCCAGTGTGAACTCTGTGGTGTATAGTGAGGGCAGCCCTTTCACGGAAATGCTTCCCACATTCACTACACTCATATGGCTTTTCACCAGTGTGAACTCTTTGGTGTTTAGTGAGGTGAGAACTCTGACGAAAGGATAGCCCACATTCGCCACACTCATATGGCTTTTCTCCAGTGTGAACTCTGTAGTGTTTAGTGAGTTCAGCCCTTTCAGTGAAATGCTTCCCACATTCACTACACTCATATGGCTTTTCTCCAGTGTGAACTCTGTGGTGTTTAGTGAGGGCAGCCTTTAATCTGAAATGCTTCCCACATTCGCTACACTCATATGGCTTTTCTCCAGTGTGAACTCTTTGGTGCACAGTGAGGTGACACTTTTGACGAAAGGATATCCCACATTCACTGCACTCATATGGCTTTTCTCCAGTGTGAACACTGTGGTGTTTAGTGAGGGCACCCTTTTCTCTGAAATGCTTCCCACATTCGCTACACTCATATGGCTTTTCTCCAGTGTGAACTCTTTGGTGTACAATGAGGTAACACTTTTGACGAAAGGATATCCCACATTCACTGCACTCATAAGGCTTTTCTCCACTGTGAACTCTCCCATGTGGAGGGTGGTGAAACATTTGTCTACACACTTCCCCACATTTATTATACTCATCAATCATATCTCCAGAACAGAGACCTTTCTGATAAGCAACTTTCTGTTTCTGGCTGTCAGCTCTTTCACATTCCACCCACTGGTGATGTCTTTTTCCACTGAGAAATTCCTGTGAAATCTCATTGTTACTGTGTGGCTCTTTAGTGTTAAGAGTGGCCTGGTGCTGGAGAAGCCCTGAGATGGCTGGGGAGTCTTCCCCAGCCTCCATGCTAGCTGCAGGCATCCCAGATAAATAGAAACAGCAACTCCTCACAAGCAAGGCACTCTCCATATCTTCTTTCCAGGGCTTCTCTCCACTGGCATCCTTCTGTTGCTGGTGCGGGTTTGCGCTGAAACACAAGTCTCTCAAACATGCATCACTTAAGAACACATTCTTCTCAAAGTAAACCACTTGTAACTCACTCAGGTGCAAAATATCTTTTAACACTGAGAAGCACGGCTTACACAGATGGGTCCTCTGGGTGGCTGTAGCTGTCCTGGAAGCCCTGAGCTGAGAATCTCCTAAGGATACACTGTGCTGAGAGTAGGCCTCCACATCATCCATCTTACGCCAAGGACCTGAAAACAGAGGAATGATGACGAAATGAATGTTGACTCTGGTGACAGGGGGAAGTCCCATTATAAAAGTGGATTGCACATACTACATTGGTTTCATGCAATTGGCTGAAAATAAAAGACCTGAAAGATGGATTAGTAAGAGGTCACTGTGAAGTTCTTGAGCACTGAAGATCACAAAACAAGGGAGACTTCAGCAGAAATAGAGCAAAAACAAGACAAGTAGCACATGGAGGAGAATTGGACTGTCCAGCTCATTCTGCTGCTAACAGCATTCAGTAGATCAGTGATGGCGAACCTATGATACGTGTGTCAAAGTTGACATGCAAACTCATTTTTTTGGTCGATTTTTCTTTGTTAAATGGCATTTAAATACATAAAATAAATATCACAAATATAAATCTTTGTTTTACTATGGTTGCAAATATCAGAAAAATTCTATTTGTGACATGGCACCAGAGTTAAGTTAGGGTTTTTCAAAATGCTGACATGCTAAGCTCAAAAGGTTTGCCATCACTGCATCAGATCTTCTATGCTGGTGACATAGGCAAGCTGTGCAGAAGGTTGGTTACATCTCATTCCAAGTAAAATTCAATAAACAAGTAGCTGGTATTTTAGGGGTATTTAAGCATGTACACTGAGTAGCCAGATTATTATGACCACCCCATCAGTACAAAGAAATGAATTAGTTATGCAAAGAATAATAATAATAATGATAATAAAACCTTGAGAGTATTTGCTTAGGAAGTTTTCAATATTGAGTATTTTGTAAGTGTCAATGAAGTCCTGATGGGGTGGTCATTATAATCTGGCCACTCAGTGTATGTGCTCCTTATAACACTTGCATAGGTCCATGTTGTAGAATACTGCAGAAAGAGATGTGCAAAGGAATAGGTGATGTAAAAAGGACACAAAGGCAAAGATATCCAAAGCTAGAAAGTCATTGATGAAATGAGAAGCCAGCAAAGTGTCAAATATGGAAAAGGAAATGTATAAATGAGGGGTGGCCATTGGAACTTGCACCAAACATCATTAAACAGGAGCAGGTTCCTGGTACAATCTGAACACCATCCTTATGTCATACCTCCCCCGAGCTGCCACTCAGCCAGACAAGGCTTCCCCTAGGAACATCCTGTATGTTCACCCTGCAGAAACCCAGTGTTCTCCCTGCACCTCCTTCTCTAGAAATATCTACAAACTAAATATTCCAAGTATCAATGAAAGACAACAGAGGTGAACAGCCATCACTTGCGCATTGCATTCGGCTTGCAACAGTATTCACAGAAGGTAATATTACAAACAACAATGGAAGGAGGGTCTTACAATAACAGCCCCTGGTTCATGTATATAAAGAAGATACCTGGCACAGCATTCACCAAGGTCCTTATCTACAGAAAAGGTGCCGAAGTGGAGGCCATGGATCTGGATACAGTCACCCTTCTTGGGTGAGGAAGAGCAGGAGGGACCCATTAAGCTGTCTGTAAGACTGCTGACACCCAGACACTTCCTGCAGTTCCTAAGGCAACTGGTGTTAGGGAAGTTTGTGGAGTCTATTGCTCAGGGCTCTCTGAGAGCTCAGCACTGGCAGCCACAGCCCATTTCACAAGACAGTGGGGGAAATGAGCAGAGCCCATGGTCTTGCTTTGAGAGAGAGAGTGCTATGTATGGAGAATAAATAAAGAGTGGGTATCACTTCAGGACACTAGGAGAGATGAAGGACTTACCTACGAATGATACAAGTGAAAACACTTCCAGCATCACATCACAGTACAGACGTCTCTGGGCCTCATCAAGGATCTCCCACTCCTCCTGAGCGAATGCAATGGCCACGTCCTCAAAATTCATATCCTGTCATAATGAGGACAGTACATCCCATGATAAGATTCTCTCTTGAGATGCCAAGTTTGTCACACTCCCCACCAGGCACATCCAACTGCTTCCTCTACTCCCCATATCAGGGAAGACAGCAGGCCTTAATCCCATAAAAGTCAATCTCTCCTTATATTCCTACTAGAGGCCCGGTGCACAAAAATTTGTGCACTTGGGGTGGGGGGCCCTCAGCCCAGCCTATGCCCTCTTGCAGTCTGGGACCCCTCGGAGGATGTCCACCTGCTGGCTTAGGCCCACTCCCTGGTGGATCGGACCCAAGCTGGTAGTCACACATTCCTCTGGCAGCCCGGCAGCCCTGGGGAAATGTCCACTTGCCAGCAGGGAGCAGGCCTAAGCTGCAGTCGGACATCCTTAGTGCTGCTGAGGAAGTGGGAGAGGCTCCCACCACCATCAGCCTGGCTTGTGGCTGAGGAGATCTCCACCTGTGGGAGTGCACTGACCTCCAGGGGGCAGCCCCTGCACTGAACGTCTGTCCCCTGGTGGTCAGTGTGGTCATAGTGACCAGTCATTCCAGTTGTTCTGCTGTTAGGGTCAGTTTGCCTATTACCCTTTTATAATATAGGATAGAGGCCTGCATGGGTGGGGGCCAGCTGGTTTGCCCTGAAGGGTGACTGGGATCAGGGTGGGGGTCCCATTGGGGTGCCTGGCCAGCCCGGGTGAGGGGCTGATGGCTGTTTGCAGCTGGTCACATCCCCTTCAGAGTGCGGGTCCACACTGGGGTGCCTGGCCAGCCCGGGTGAGGGGCTGATGGCTGTTTGCAGGCTGGTCACAACCCCTTCAGGGTGGGGGTCCCCACTGGGGTGCCTGGCCAGCCTGGGTGAGAGGCTGATGGCTGTTTGCAGGCTGGTCAAGCCCCTTCCCCAGTGGGAACCCTCACCCCATGGAGGTTTGGCTAGCCTGGGTGAGGGGCTGAAGGCTGTTTTCAGGCTGGCCACACCCCCTTTAGGGTGGGGAGTCCCACAGGGGTGCCTGGCCAGTCTGGGTGAGGGCCAGTCTGTTTTCAGGCTGGCCAAGCCCCCTGGTGACAGAAGCTCCCAGCCTCTCCTTCTTTACTTTTCTTTTTTAATTCTGGGGTTTATGTACCTTCTATAATTGAAACTTTGTAGCTTTGAGAGGAGCTCAGAGCTGGCAAGGGTGGGCGAGAGGGAAGCCAGCTGGTCGCTCCAGCTCCGTGGCCACAGCCAGCTGAAAGCAGGTATCTGGGGTTTATTTACCTTCTATAATTGAAACTTTGTTGCTTTGAGTGGAGCTCAGAGCCCGCCGTGGCAAGCGGGAAGCTTGGCTTCCTCCATCATTGGAGCAACCAAGCCTCCTGCTTGCCACAGCTCCGTGGCTGCCGGCCGCCACCTTGTTTGGTTAATTTGCATATAGTCGCTCTGACTGGCTGGTGAGAGTGGCTTAAGGCGTAGCGAAGGCACAGGCAATTTGCATGTTTGTCTTTTATTAGTGCAGACTGATGCTGTGTCTCTCACAACAATAAAGGCAGATGAGCAGTTATAATATACCTGTGCTTTGGGCCTCAAATGAGAGTCAGACTGCCCCCTTTCAATAACAGTGGGTGCCAGTAACATAGGGTAAGACGAGGTGTTGAACATAAAGGGACTGTGAGTGACTTGACACTGGTCTTTTCAGGCAATACCCATGTTGTCCTCCAAATTGTCCCTCAAAGACACCAAAATGCTAATGCACATTACACTTCCGACTCCAATCCCAGTTTGCTGAGGCCATCACTTTGCATTACCTGCTGCCCATAGTTCTTTGATCCACACTTGTCTCACAGCTTCATTCCCAGAGGCACATCTTCACTAATGACATAAATAAGCCATCACAAGGACAGGTTGTTTTCTAACTAGTTTATTTTCTAAAATTCTAGTTCACCACCTCTGTGATATATTTCTCTCTCAACCTTCTCTGTTCTCCCTTCCCCATGCTGGTGGAGATTTTCAAGTGCAGGTGACATTGATTTATGCTATCTCATTCCTATTGTTCACTGGGTCAGGCCTCAACTAGAAATGACAGGTGGGCACATATATGTCACCTAAGCTCTGGACCTCGTATGTAGCACCACAACAACCCATCTTGTTAGAAATTATCCTAAAATTTCCCATATCATATCATGAAGACACCATCAGAAATGGACACCCTTTTCATTCACTCGTCTGTCAATGTTAGTGCCCGGCTGCTCTTGTTTTAGTCCCAGGACCACACTGATGTCATCATGCCCTGTGGGTGACTGTGCAGCTCAGCCCGGTTCCCCCACCTGCTACCCTGACATAAAGAGCACCTCCCATACTGTTCTTTGGATCTCTTATCCTCCAAACCCCGCTCACCCTCTCATGCCTTTTTTCTGAGGTTTGAAGGTCTCTTTGATGCTTTTGTCTCTGAATGTATTTTTGTTCATCACTTTATGCCAGTGGTTCTCATCCTTCCTAATGCAGCGACCCTTTAATAAAGCTCCTCATGTTGTGGTGACCCCCAAAAACAATATATAATTATATATGTGTTTTCCAATGGTCTTAGGCCACCCCTGTGAAAGGGTCGTTTATCCCCCAAAGGGGCCATGACCCACAGGTTGAGAACCGCTGGTTTATGCTGTTCATTATATTCCACAAATGATGATATCATGTGATACTGATCTTTCTCTGACTGGCTTATTTTGCTTAGCATAATGCTCTCCAGGTAATAAATTCATTTTAAAAATTGTTAAAAGATTCTGAGCAGACATTTTAACAAATATGATAAAGACAATGTGAATATATGTATGAAACAAATGCTCACCATCAAAAATTGTTAGGTAAATGAAAGTAAAACAAAGGTGAGGTAATCCTATACTCATTTATTGGGCCAGTATTTAAAAAAAATTACCATCATATGTGCTGGCAGAGTTGCAGAAAAACGGGAACTTTCATTACTCTGGGTGGGTGGGAATGCAAAGAAAATAAGCATTTTAGATCACAGTTCCACATATCTTACAATGTAAAACATTCACCCACACAACAACAGTTTGATCAGTAAAACATACATCTAGATAATGAACTGAACACAATATGCCCAGCAGATTTCTCTGTAATACCCCAAACCTGGAAATAACCAAAGTCATAGACACATCATTAAAGTAGTAATTCACAGTACACAATTTGTGTTGAATCTCAAAATAACTATATGTAGGGTGAAGGAAACCAATATTTGTTAAAGAGCACACACCTTCTAGTGCCTATAAAATTATGAAAAATATGCACTACTGTGTTGTAATGGAAGGAAAATCAATGCCTACTTGTAGGACTGGGGAAGGTAGAGAGAGAGTTTGTAAAAGGGCAGAAGGTAAATATAGGGTATGCCAAAAGTAGGGTTAGAGTTGTTGGTATGGGAAGTAATACAATAATTAACAAATAATAATACAAGAATTTACTCTGCCCTGGTTAGTGTTACTCACTCAGTTAGGCATCATACCCTACACTTAGAGGTCACTAGAACAGGTCAGGGCACTAGAACATGTCTTCCTCAAACCCCAGTAGGGGGCATGCAAGAGGCATCAGATTAACATATGTCTCTCATATAGATGTTTCTCTCCCCCCCTTCCTTCCCATTCTCCCTAAAAGAATCAATAAACTAATGTTTAAAATACTTTTGTAAAAACAATAAACGATGTGTTTTGGGTGCTCACTATTGTAAACCTATTTTTGCTCCACCCTGTACATTGGTGACAGCTAAGTTTATTTCATGTGTGACAACTTCACAGCTTTATATGTACATCAAACCTCACCAAATAGTACATACTTAAAAAGTGCAGTTTGTTGCACGTCATTTCTCATATCCTGGAAGGAACAGCCTTGCCATTGTCCCAGCAAATATTGGTAAGCAATTTAGACTATTATCATCAGAATCCATAGGAATGTTGACTGGTTGCAAGAAATATCCTGGGGTTGATTATAGGATTACTCTTCCTCTACCTTTGAATTCTTGTATGTTGAGCATCAACCTTGAGGTGAACACCCTAGGGGGCCAGCAGAATAGTAAAATTATAAGACTATTTTCTCTGCCAATGACTTCAGTCATAGTAAACAGGTATGGAGGTCCTGAGAATATCTGTACACAAACATCACACAAGCCACAGGCCCTGCAACATTTGTGGAAAACATTCAGAGGAGGCATTTTTCAACTAATTTACTGCAGTCTCTCCCACTCACAATGGAAACAGTGCTTCTGCCCTAATTGTGGTTGCACGCAACCCCCAGATTCTTACCACAAATGACACCAGCCTATGAAATTTAGTACATCATGACATATGGATCATTTGCTGAGACTTATGTCATACACACTATGAACAAAGTGCTTCACAGAAGCACAACAAAGACCTCCTCTTCAGGGTGACCTTTGACTTCACCAATAATAGAGGTACCAGGCTGCAAATTAGAACCATAAAGTCCTGCAGACTTGCTTTCAAGGCTTTCGGCAGAAATGCAAAATAAGCAAATAATAGCCAAAGAGTGATTTTCTGTTATCATGATGTCCCTTCAGAAGCACTGAAAGTTTGGGATCCCCACAATATCTCTTCACCTCTACCTGCTGACAGATCACAATTGTGCTTTCAATTCATCCCAGGCAGAGAACAGAACCAATAAATTAAAGGTACAAATGCAAAAGGCACCTTTATAAAAAGATCATAAACCAGAGACATATACAGTAAGTGGTTTGAATGTTGGTGAAAAAATTCATCACAGCACAATGTCCCTGAAAGTTGTAGCGTATTTTAGGATGGTGGTCTGGGGGAAACAATGGTTAGGTCCATTCCTTACTCAGAGAGAAAGGAGTGAAGATCGTAAGACCTTGGAGTACTCATCATTTCCTCAAACATAAGTAAGAATACAGAATTATTTTTTTTCTGAGCACACAGGACTTCCCACAATCAGTACACACATAGCTTTTCTCTAGTGTGAACTCTCCTGTGGATAGGT